TGTTGTGAATTACATAATGAAATACAAATACTGTATCTGACTACCTGTAACTTTTGAGTTTTTTGGAAATAAATTATTATTATTGTTACAAAACACATATAGAATAAATTAAGCATTTGCTAATTCAAAGTGTGAAATAGTAGCTGCTTACCTACGCATGATGTCACAAACGGGCCTTCAAGTTGTGCATCTTAGATTTCTCTTAGATTGTACCGTCCTTAATATAAAGTAGACTGAACGCAATGGTATGGATGTTATCGAGGTTTTACTGTACTAGCAACCACCAATTCATTGTATAGTAACTAATGTATATAACTTCAATTTTTAAAGTTGAGAATAAGATAAATACAGTACAGGAAAGGGATTCTATAAACTGTTGGCTGTCAAAACAATAGCAGCTCGATGTCCGTTCTACCGTCAAGGGGTTGGTATTTATCTCGTCTGCTTCGTCGGCAAAAGCCGCTAACGTGTATTATCGGTTGGTTGGCCGTCGTCAGCCAACCAACATGGACGGCGACGTCGCCTCCGTTACCTCTCCAGACCAGATATCGCGCCGCTCTTCATTATTTGATTAACAAGACCGTTAACGTCCGAATAAACGGCACAATCCTGCGGCGATGCCGTGCTTCACTATAGGAATTAACGGCGCGATGAAAATGCATCCCGACAAGGACCCCGCGGGGGCGGAGTTCCAACCGGGACGGTTTAATTTATGTCCGACGGGTGCCGTTCTTGCGGCCGCTAGAAATGCAATTAAGGGCCGCAATTATGGACGGCCGTTATGAACAAGCGAGCCCCTCTGCTGTGTCCGCGCAAAACAAGCACAACGTTCAGTCCGTAATTGCACCCGCTGATTTACCGGCAAGGCGCAGTCGTTCGGACGAAAAGCTAGGAGGCGGAGGCGGCACCGTCGAGATTAAAGTTTACGTTTGCGTCTACGCGATCTCTTAAGTACACATCCCCGACATCAATAGCCGCATTAAATTCCCCGGATCATTGCATTATGTATAGTATTACGCGACCGGATAGGTGAAGCAGCTCTGGCAAATCCTTGGGGTATTATAGGGGGAGGAGATCCGACGTGGCGTGGCGGTTACCGACGCCCAATCTAACTTTACGAGAAGATATGCCAAAAAGAACACGACGCACACATTGTACCCGAGACAACCCGCCTCCGACAGCGTCACGTGTCGTTGCTATCCCATCAATATTTGTCGGTTTATATTACTCTTGCTTGGTCTTGATTTATTATTTCTGATACGACGAGCGGTGTATTATAATCCCCAGGGATATCCTAAGACATTAACTATAGACGATAAAGACCGCTACTTGTAAATGTCTTAGAATATAAAGTTTGGAATTTTAAGGGTAATCGACTATTTATATAACAATGTGTAAACACAACGTATTAACAACAGTGTTAGCCACGGGACTTAAAGACTTAATACCTAAATTGTATGGTCAGAGTTAATCCTAATTTGAATAGGGATTTGGGGAATAGGAAATGGTAAACAGGAACCAAACGTAGTGTGTATCTCGACTAATGTTATATAACGTTGTGTTATAACACTACAATGTTAGGTATTAATTTAATCACATCAACCAATTATGGTTTATAAATCCTTTTTTTTATATTTAAAAAAGTCCAATGGTACTTTTGGATTAAGTTTTTCTACGAATTTTGTAGACAGTACAAAGTCGTAAATTCAAATTTCGACCGGTCGTGAAGGCACACGTTTTAGCATGTGAGAAATCGGTGGGTAGATACGGAACCGGCATGGGTCTCGAAGCAAATCCCCACATATCCAGGCAGCACTTGACTCGCGAAATCCTAGGAATAAAAATAATATATTGGCCCGGCCGAATATATTTGCTTTCTATGCATTCGACGAGCGAAGACTGTGCCCCGGAAAGGAATCGGCGGGGGTCCTCGGATCCGGAACCGTACCACGGTAAATCTTCTCATCTGTTTCAGACAATATAACTTCCCCACTTGGCAAACGCTCGCGGGCTCCTATCGCCCAGATAAATTCCGGAACGAAGAAAGGCATCCTAAAATTTTTGGTGTCTTCCGCCCCTTAACGTTCTTTCTTTTCATCATCTCCGCCCATTCGGTTAGGCGACGCTATCGATATCGGTTTCATACCGGTGCCAAAACGTGAAAAAACGAAGGTCGCTTCAATTACGAAATTGGGTTATAAAAATTCCAAGTGGGGAAAAGTACAATTGACGTGATAGATACCCCCAATTTGAACCGACCATTTCAACAAAAGCACGCGTTTTCGAAAAAGGCGTCAAAAATATTTACGCTCACGCCTGCCAACAATAACGCAATTTAGAGAATGCCGTAAATTTTGTGAGCAACGGTGGCGGCGGCGGGTTTCTTTTGTTTTAAGTCACGCTCCATGCTCAGGCGCACTTGATTTATTTCAGCGTTTTTGCTGTCGGTCGCGACGTTGTTCGGCTCGAGCATTAAAAGTGCATTGTATTCGGTTGTAGTGCATGCAACCCAAATAACAATGCTGCCATCGTATGGAAAGAAATCTAACGTACTGCGAAGACAAACAAGAAATTGATAATGATTATCAAAAATAATAATTATTTTTTGTGCCATTAATTACACATTGCTCAAAAAAATTAGGACAACACTTTTTTTGGAATCTGTAACTTTGTTTTATCAAAGGCTTGAATTGAAGAAAGTTTGGCTGAAGACGTGGTTTCCTTCGGCCCACTTATTGGTGACAACTTCTTGGTCATGCACGATAATGCTCGCTCCCACACAGCCCGCATAGTGTCCCAATATCTGGATGATTTGCATATCAGCAGAATGGAGTAGCCTGCACGTAGCCCTGAATTAAATCCCATACACATGTGGGATATGCTAGGGACGCGAGAATAGCGCTAGAAGAAGAGTAGAACCAGATACTTAAAATCTCGAAGAGATTAGAAAGAGTCTCGAAGGATGAGGGATACCATTCAAGCGAGGGGAGGAAATATCCGTTATTAACAATTTGTTTGATTTACTTGTCACAATTTAATACACTACAGTACATTTCATCAACATCTATGACTTGCTTTAATTTCTGATGTCGCTGCCTAACAAGCTGCGTTATCTTTTAGAGCTTGTAATTTTGATGTTAACAATAACAGAAACTTGAACAATAAACAGAAATGACTAGAACAAACAAGACTACAAGCTCCTTATGTTTAAAATGAATATCTTTTGTCGGTGTACAACACAGCAAGCTTCAAAGTGTAGGAAGAAAACACGCATTAACGTTATTCACCATTGCTGAAATTGAAGATATGACAAAATGAGGAAGGCACGTACATAAATTGGCACAGGGTAGACCTTTCAAATAAAAAAACTTTATTCAAATCGAGTAATACGTTTAAAAGTTATTGCATTTTGCAACTGGTCATCATTTTAGGTGATGCGTTTTTTATGCCGCTGAGTGTATATGCCGTTGAAGTAAAACAAATTTGATTTGCCTTGAACTATTATTTAAATTTCGAAAAAATTGTTCCTCTAATTATTTTGAGCAGTGTAGTTTCGTGGTTGTACTAGAATACCTAATCTAATCGATACACAAACTTGCAAAGTGTGAAACGTCCAGTTCCAGTAACGAGGAAACTACGATGTGTTAAGTAGTGAAACGGAGTTGAACATCCTAACAGCCACTGACCTTTGACGTCGTCGCGAAAATGGTCTTTCTACTTCAACTGAAGCAGTTACGGTCGAGGCATTACCGCCGTAATAAAATTTCATCGTCGCCGCACTGACATCGCCCTTCGCGCCTCTATCAATTCTTAAATTAATTCGGAGAGAATGGCGCGTGAACCAATTTTCACGAAATTGTTGCAGTAAAATTTGATTGTACATCCATTCCAAAGGAAAATTGACATTGAACAAGAAATTCCCACAACGTTTCACTTATTTCTCATACACAATATTTATTTTTAGTCCTAATTTTTCTAAGATTTAAATTTGATTTTGATATAAAACATTCTTTTCCTTTTCATTCTGATCCCGTTATCTTCCGACGTCTGGGAAACTGAACATTTCGTTCAAAGCCACGATAACGACCCCACATCTCCCTGAGGAGATGCAACTCGGACGTGGGTTGCATTTGAGATGTGATCTGAATTTCAATAGGGGACAAGGTGCTAAGATCTCTGGGAAACCTCTTCCCTTGAGAGTGATAACTAGATAACCGGGACTTCATTCCAGGTTTAGCTGATTAATGAAGTCCGGTAGATATTTTCGCGCAACTATAACCCTCAGTACGACCTATGGGATTCCATCCCCGTAAATAATTCCGTTTAATATGCGAAACTGGACCGAAACCGCATCCCCAAATTAATTATGAACTTAATTTTGAAGTATTACCGTTGGGAATAAAGTTGCATAAAGATGTGTGTCCATTTAAAACTAAAATTTATTTACGGGGAGTCAAAACGGAAGTAGCACCACTGCATTCAACGCCAGAGGCAGATAAACATTTTTCCTTGGAACCATTATTTTCTCGTCAAGTTCCGGGAGACTTTGGGCGAAATCTGTTCGGGCCATCAATTCGAAGTTTCGAAGCCTCGCGGACGAGAAGCGAGTCGGAACATTTATCACCGCCTTTCGCGTGCCGCGTGTCGAATACGTTTTTAACTATAGTTTCTACCCCAACGGGCTCAGTTCTCGGATCTGTTCAAGACGCGCCCGATAAATTATTTATTACTTTGACAAAACTTAACAGTGAAACAGTATAAAACGTGAATAATTTTATATAGAATGAAATTAGGTGATAAGAACTTCAAGTTCCATTAAAATTATGTTGGTCAGATTTCTCTACGCAAACGGAAATCGACCCAATTCACATAAAACCGGATTACTAAGGGTACTAGCAAGAATCTAATTTCCTAAATTGTTCCTCGGTTCCTCCTAATATACGATAGAAACGCCCTCTCGAGATCTTGTACCTAGAAAATTCAGTGTTTTATTATTTTACCTGTGTGGGTTCGTTGGTGAGCCTTCAGATGCGAACTCTTCGTATAGACCTTCTTGCACCCGAGGAATTGGCACTTGTGTATCCTCCTCTTCGAGTCCGGTGAATGATCGAGCCTTGAGTGCTTGGTAACGCCGGACGCTGGTGAAGCGGGAGATGCACTCACCCTCGAAATCATCATGTAACCGAGACTCGGCACATGATGATGGTCTCTGCCCTTTAACCTCACCAGGTTACTCTTCGTCGAGTTGATCCGGTGCGTCGTTACGTCGACGTCGCTAGCACTAGAGCTTTCATTGCTATGTCCTTGCCCCGACTCGGGGCTACTCGGGGGTGTTAACGTCGACTTAAGGGCCCCTAGCCTTAGCTGGAGAGCTTCACTACTTTCTCTTCGATGTCGTTCTTCGTAACCATCTTCAAAATCATCGTCGTCGTCGATAGGTTCCTGTTTGACGAGGACGTCGCAGGAGAGTGACGCAAATGAGCACATCGAGCTTGTTGGACTTGTACTTAATGAATCTAGATGGTTGTGTCTTAATTCTTCCATTTGGATATCTACGGAATCCCAACCGCTACTACTCGATGTTAACCAGTTGTTCTTTTTGGGTTCATCTTGAAGGAACGCTTCCATTTCATAACATGTCTGTAAGAATAAAAAGAAAATATTTTAAAAAACTATTTTTTTTGAAATGAAGTAAATTTGAAAATGCGGTTTTATCCGGGAAACTCGATTTAACGCGATTACCATCCCGTGTTATTGTCCGATGGCAGTTCGCCTCGGTTTTAATTAAACTCCATCAGATTAGAGCGAAGCGTTCTTTCTAATTGCTTTCGTCGCGTCGCGAACAATGCCGGATTTGCATCCGGTGCTTTTATTAAAACTAAGGTAAAAACTCTTCAGGCGTTTCCCGTTTTTCCTCCGGGTGAGTTTTGCGTTTGAGTGGCTTGGACCGTAGACTCGGTTGGCTAAAAGGGAGTTCGTCCTTCGCTTTTAGCAAAACTTCGAAGCAGTTACGTAATTCAGTTAGCCGGAATGACCGTTCAGATCCGTAATAAAATAGATTTATGACCCTGGGAAGCACCCTTCACGGGGTGCTACGCCCCACCGGAACGCCAGTTGTAATGGGACGCGGAATTACGCTCAACGGCCCGCCACGTTGTCCGCGAATTTGTTCACATGTAAAACAGAAAAATGTTACTCATTTATCTTAATAACTTCGGCTGTCGATGACACCCATTATAAACAGGATTACTTATTAAGTTTAATGCTACAAGTTGAAAGTATTTACATGGAGGAAATGAGATGAACTTCTACTATGTGTCTTGGTAGAAAAGTTTTCTAACCACGCGGAAACTGCAGCTATCTCACAATCGAATAATATCGGGCTCTTCGTATGCCCCGAAACTCGACGGAAACCACATTCCTCTTCTGTCAGAGCGGTATTTGTAGACGTTGCCGTCGCAAGTACGAAACAAACGGGGCGCAGATCTCGAATGCGACATTCGCATATTGAAACCCAAAGCCGTTCGCCAAATATCTCCGGGGAATTACAATATTCGTTACACATATCTAAGAAGGAAGCAAACACATCCGACAAGTTCAACACGAAGAATTAATAAACGAAGTAATATGTAACTCTATGACATTCAGAACCAAAATCTTTAAATGTTCGTCAAAACAAGTTAATTAAGAATTTAATAAAATTATCAAATTTAATAAAAGATTGATCGTTTGTTAGTTATAACTGTCCAACGATAATTAACTAGTAAAATAAACAAAGCATAACGATGAGGATGTTCTGCAAATAAAAGTTTCGGTGCCATGGGATTTCAATTAAACTGCTGCTATATCAAAGCGATTAAAATTTTATATTAAACTAAAAACCAACGGTCCCGCTGTCCGTTTTTGAGTTGACAGTCACGGATTAGGTGAGGCACGGATTGTTCGATACGTGAACATGTTGAAGCGGTGAATGTGCGTGTGTAATCGCAAAAACCCCGGGGCATGTGTTGGGGTCGCTCGGCATCCACCGGTAATCGAATTTTCTTTAATCAAGTTCGATCGTACAAAGTCGCAATTTTGCCACAATGGGAGATCATTAGAGCGCACTACAATAGGACATGGATTTTTCAATAAAAATTGTTGTTACACCATAAAATAAATAATCCAAACAAACCAAAATGAAATAACTTTAAATCGATTTAAATTAATTTCGAGTTAATATTAATGTATTTTATTTATAACAGTTTATAACAGCTGCCCTATAACGGTTGGGTTTCCTTTAATCGAAGTGAATGAATGTAATCAATTTATTCTCGACTCAATTGATTCACACAATGGATATTTAATTGTAGTGATCGTTTTTGTTAAACGTACAAAATTAAACATTTGTTAATAAACATTAAAAACTGTTTGTATTCATAAACCCAAAACGTCGATAAACTTTTGTGACACATTTAAATATTTCGTTTTTAGCTTTTCAATGTTGTTTGAACCAGGCAAATATAAATAAAACATAGCATCCCCAACCCCCCGATATAAATTTAGGGATAACGTTATTCTGGGATGACAGCGATTCGAAATTTGTGTCGCTGTAAATGAAAACCAAACAAACTTTTAATTCGGACTCAAAGGATAATCTGGGTACGCGGGTGGTCCGGAATTTTATTAATTCCACCCCATTAGCCTCCGGGTCTCAGCACCGCGTCGTTCAAAACCAATAAGAAAATGAGATGAAGACGGAACGAACGGCCCGTCCCGGATTATTAATCCACGGACGACGTCCTGGCGACGGACGATATCTAAATATTTGATCCGGAAAGTGCCTGTTTATGCTTTCCGATTTTACGGAATTTAATTTACTTAAACCTCACAAAAAGAAAAATAAAGAAATTTTTATTCGAAACAAATTATTTAATTCAAGAACGGTAGAATTTAAGAGGACTGCTACATAACTTGAAGGCCCGTTCATGACCTCACGCATGGGCAAACAACTATATCACACTTTGAATTAGCAAATGCTTAAATTAATCTATTCGTGTTTTCTAATGTTGTTAATTCGAGACTTAATAAGGTTCATTATGTAAAAGAAAAATCTTGGTTACTGGACCACTCTAGACTGTCGAAAATTAAACCTAACTTTCCGATTTCTTTCCGTGAAAATATTAAAAGATATGAAAAAAAATGTATGTACTTTTAGGAATATGAAATGTATTTTTATAATTAATTATAATAAAAAATGAAACAACGTTCAAATGGGAAAGGTTTCGGCTACAATATTCAAGCTAGCACATAAACAAAAAGTTAATAAGTTTTTACAACTCAAAACCTACAGAAAGACAATAGAAAATGGTCGACATATTACAAAAACTTTGCGTTTTAGTCCAAAAAAATTAGCACTAAATTGTTTGTATCTAAAGAATTACATCATATCAAAAAATCCGTACATCTTTCTGTAGCTTTTGAGTTACTAAAAGCTAAATAACTTTTTGTTTTTGTTCTAACTTAAAAATTGTAGCTGAAACCCTTCCGGCCGCCCGTTTTAACAGAGCTTTTATCAAGCAGCTACATGGCGGTAATTTTTTATTTTAATTAATTAGAAATATATATTTTGTATTTCTAAAGATACAAAATAAAAAAGATCGGAAAGTTAGGTTTAATTTTCGGCGGGTTAGAGTGGTCTAACCCCTTAAGAGGGCTAAAACCCGAATGTTCCTAGTTCTAAGTTCAGTGTTAGTTCTACTTTTAATTCAATAACAATATACAACAATCTAGCGCTGAATAACAATTAAAACTAGAACTAACACTAGATGTAGAACTAGAAAATTTCAGGTTACTTGAACTAACACTAATGTTTCTAGTTCTAGGTCTAAGTGTTAGTTCTAGTACGAATTTAATAAAAATATACAACAACCGAACGCGTGTGAAGTTGGTCATAGATTTCAGCCATAGATTTTAAACTGAAAAAAATACGTTTCGTTATGTTCTAAGTGAATACAACGAAGTCAGATATAATATTAAAAGAACTAAATGTGCAACGTGCGCACGACAGCCTGCAAAAGAATTTGAAGAATCTTGGGGAAAACGAAAAAAAGAGACGTATATGTGTGAATACGTCTCTTTTTCGTATTCACACATAAAAGCGGCGTACTCAAAGAAAGTTAAAACAGATCTGCCAAAGAAATTGTCTTATATTAATCAAATTCCTAAAGTAAACAAATTATCAAAAAATAATGTCGTTGCAAAATTTAATAACGAAAAGCTTTACTACGAAAAAGCTTTGATACAATCAATTGAAAAATGAACAAACAAGACATATGGTTGGATAATTTAGTCGTTGATTATGCATTGAGAATATTGGCAAAGGATAAAAATATTAAAATATTTTCTCAGTGAGAAGTGGACAATATTATGAAAGGGTTTTTACCAAAAACAATTAGCAAATTCCAAAATTTTTTTTTCCCTATATTACGTAGTAGTCATTGGATGTAATGGTGGCAAATATTGAAGATCACCAAGTTTTATTTTTTGATCCAATAACTACTGAAACTAGAAAAGAACAAACTTAATATAAACAATTGTCCAATTGATTGTTGGATTGGCGATTGTTCGAAGAAAAACGATTTTCCCGGAATATGAGAAATGGTTAGGAAAATTTTCTTTTTGGATCTGAAGCAAGAGGCGGCCAGGAATATGATGCCGTTGAAATTAGATCAATTAGGAACTCCGAACAGGTAAAAATTTGCGATTGTTTGAAGAAAAACGATTTTCCCGGAATATAAGAAATGGTTAGGAAAATTTTCTTTTTGAATTTGAAGCAAGAGGTGACCAGAAATACGATGCCGTTGAAATTAGATCGATTAGGAACCCTAAGCAGGCCAAAATTTTGCGATTAAATACCCCGATCATGCATTTTTTTCAGTTTAAAATCTATGGCCAACTTCATACGCGTAACAACCTAACACTGAATAACAACTAAAATTAGAACTAGCACTAGAACTGATACTAGACCTAGAACTAGAAATATTCGGGTTTAGCCGTGCGTCTCTTAAAACGCCTAAAGCCGATTGTTTCTAGTTCTAAGTCTAGTATTAGTCCTACTTTTAGGTTAATCAAGATATGCAACCATCTAACGCTGAATAACAACTAAAACTAGAGCTAACACTATTAGTAGAACTAACACTAGACCTAGAACTAGAAACATTCGGATTTAGCCGTACGTCTCTTAAGACAGCTAAACCCGAATGTTTCTAATTCTAGGTCTAGTATTAGTTCTACTAATAGTGTTAGCTCTAGTTTTAGTTGTTATTCAGCGTTAGATGGTTGCATATCTTTATAGAATTAAAAGTAAAACTAATACTAGACTTAGAACTACAAACATTCGGCTTTAGCCGTTCGTCTCTTAAGACGGCTAAACCTCAACGTTTCTAGTAGTGTTATTTCAATAAAAATATAAAACAACCTAACACTGAATTATAATTAAAACTAAAACTAACTCTACACCTAGAACTAGAGAGACCTAGGATGTTTCTAGTTCTAGGTGTAGTGTTAGTTTTAGTTTTATTTCAATAAAAATATACAACAATCTACATAATAACTAAAACTAGAGCTAACACTAGCACTAGAACTAAAACTACGCCTAG